AAGCTGTCTCAAAAGCTGGATCAGCTCTTACTGTGATTTCTCCATATCATACTTCCCAGTGAACTGTACCCTGTCTTTTTTATTAATGCTTTCCTAAACTTGCTTCCCCTAACCCTTAATCCAGTGGCCTCTGCTCAGCTGTCATTCTTGAGATTTTCTCTGAAGCAGTGTTCTCCTTCTTTCTTGTGCCTTGAGGCATTTTCTCCTTAGTTTCCTGGGCTAGTTTGAGTAAAATGGCCACTATAGGCTCATATGTTTGAATACTTTGTTCTCCAGTTGGTGGAATTCTTTGGGAAGGATTAGGAGGTGTTGCTTTGTTGAAGGAGGTGTGCCACTGGGGAAGGCTTTGAAATTTTTTAAATTTTTGTAAGGCCCAAGCCATTCCCAATGTGCTGTCTGCCTCCTGCTTGTAGATGAGGTGTGAGCTCAGCTGATGTTCTAGCTTCCTGCCCCCATGCCTTCACTCTACCATCTAAAACTCTGTCTGGAATTGTAAGCCCAATTAAACTCTTTATTTTATAAGTTGCTTCGGTTACGATGTTGTATTGTAGCAATGAACAAGTAATTAAGACACTTCCAGAATAGGACTGTAAGCCCTTGCCTTTCTGTCCTAGTTGCCCTAAGTCACCTTTGTGAGTTGCCTTTTTTGCCGCCAGGTAACTGCAGGTGTTCCTAATGAAGTGTGACTGTCCTCTGGGGACTCTCCCCACCCCATCACTCTCAGTCTATCACTTTTAAGTGACTAATTGACGTACTTTCCATTTCCCTTTATGTACGATAGTCTTTTCTCTTCCCATGCGTTTACACCTATTCACTAAGATCAATTCACACACTTCCTGTTTCATGAAGTTTTCTGGTTATACTCTGCCTTCACCGAGATCCGTCCTTGAACAAATCATTGAACAAATTACTCGAAGCTAAACAACAGGGCTTATTATGTCAGTTAGTCATTCCCGGCTGTTTCTCATGTCATGATATCTTTTAAAATCACTCCTATATATGTACAATTCAAATGCCATAAAAATTCATCCTTTTAGGTTTTTTTTTTTTTTTTTAATTGATTCACCAGATTGAGGAAACATTAGCACTCTATAGTTCCGCCAACAGTTAATACTCATGATTTTCCTCTACCTTTGGTCTCAGGAAACCATTCTGGGCCTATCAACTAAATGGAATCAAACAACAAACTTTCGTAACTGGCTTCTTGTTCTTTAACGTGATGTCTTTTAAGTTCCTGAGGAGTGCATAACTATGGTTATGCCATAGTTTTTCCTGATCATTCCTTTCTTGATAGATATTTGAGTTGTTTCCAATTTTGAGTTATTTTGTCTGTGGGTAATTGTACTCAAGTGTGTGTGTTCACATTTCTAGCCTCCTTGGGCATCTGTCTTCCTGGTAGTGAACTTCCTGGGTCATATGGGGCTTTTATATTTAACATTTTTTGATAATTGGAAAGTAATTTTCCAAAGAGATTACATTAATTTGTTTGCCTACCAGTATTTTATGAGCATTTTGGTTCCTCCAGATCCTCGCGAATACTTGCTGCTTTCTTGCCAGTGAAAGCCAATCGCTATGTCTCTCACTGAGGTTTTTATTCATATTTTCCTAGTGTGTGATGATGTTGAACAGTTTATTTGTTTAGTGGTCATTTGTGCAATTTGTTTGGAGAAATATATGCTCAACCACTTGCTAATTCTAAAATTTAGGCTAGTTGGCCCTTTATTATTTAAATTAAGCTTTTCCCGTGAATTCTGGCGACCACGGATTTGTCAGATTCAGGATTTGTAAATGCCTTCCCCTATGTGGCTTGCATTTACACTTTTAAAATTTGAGCTTTTAGGTCCTAAATTTTTTTTTAGGGCCTCGAGAGATGGTACAATGGTTACAAATGTTTACTATCCTTGCAGAGGACCTGGGTTGAGTTCCTAGAACCACATGACAGCTCAAAAGTACCACCCCTTCCTCTGGCCACTGCAGACTCCAGCACACATGTGATAAAAATAAATTCATACAGACTCACATAAGTACACGTAAATAAAATACATGGCATTCAATTTTTATTGGTTGCTTATTATTTTGGTATCATATTTAAGAAACTAATTCAAAGGTCATTAATTTCAAATCTGTATTTTTCTTCTAAGTATTTTTTTTTTCTTTTCTTAAAATTTTTTTCTAGGTATTTTTTTAATGGTAGCTTTTTATATTTATGCTTCTGATCTATTTTGAGTTAGTTTTTTATACTCTGTGGGGTAAACTTCGAAGTTAGGGAATACTCACAGTTATCTGTGAGGTTTGTTTGTTTGTTTGTTTGTTTATTGGGTAGCTATTATGCATCCCATGAGCATTTGTTGAATTTGTTCCTTTCTCATTGAGGTTTTTTTTGTCTTTGTTTTTTTGAGCCCAACTCATTATCTTTGAACACATTTTTGTTATCTTCAGCGCTAACATTTTTGAAGTTAGGGTCTCAAGCTTGTCTTTAATTATACCTTTCTTAACAGCCTTATCAGATGTGGTTCGGATCTTAAGTACCCTCTAAACATCTATTGCTGAAGCTTGAAATGTCCTTGAGGGGACAGTGGGACCCAAGGTGAGCAGCTTTGTGCCACCACGTGCCTTCTTCCTTGATACTCTTCTTCCTTATCACTGGTCCCCAGACAATGGAGCCAATCAACCTCTCCACTGGTGGGTGTCTAGTCAGTGGATACAATTGATTTTATTAAATTTTATGTTTTTTATTGTTACAAATTGTTTTTATAAAAATAAAAATTGATAGGAAAATCTAACTCAAAGCTAGAGAACCACCCTCTGCTCTGCTACACATATCTGCCAATGGAGAATGTGATTTATTTATTTTTTTGGGGGGAGAGGGTTTTCGAGACAGGGTTTCTCTGTGTAACCTTGGTTTTCTTGGACTCACTTTGTAGAACAGGCTGGCCTTGAACTCACAGAGATCCACCTGTCTCTGCTTCTGCCTCTCCAAGTGCTGGGATTACAGGCATGTGCCACCATGCCTGGCTTGAAGAATATGATTTCATTCTACATTGACAGAGGATTCTTTGGGGGAGATCAGCAAGAATTTTCATTCTTTTTAAATAGACATTAAAGTTATCTCAATAGACTAATTATTTGAGAACCTAACAATAGATAAACTAAAATCCTTAAGGGAATGATGAATTTTGGAGAGGGACAGATTTAGAAATTGAACACTGCATATAAAGATTTTCAGCTCGATACTCCCCCTCCCACTTCCCCACCTTTTCCAGCCTCTGCCATGATCTTTAGTTTAGGCAGGTCACCTTCCATGTGTTGGATATGGAGAATCATGCAAGAGTGAGCAGTAATTAGGAATGACCTGCCGGGTGGATAATATCCTTGGGAGCATATGTAAGGTGTGCAGGAATAGCTCAATATGACCGGATGTGTCACTACTCAAACACAGACTGGTATTATGTAAATATGAACTGAGGCTGCAGGAGCATCTCATTGTTTGGTGTTATGAAGGAGAAGGGAAACAGCCAAGGTAAAATTATTCATTGCAGACATGGACACGAAGTTTTATTTATTACAGCTTGTTTTGAAGAACCACACAAGGAAAAAGTTCTACTTCCATTTTTCTTTGTAACTACAGGAAATAACCCCCACCCCCACCACTATCCGTAACCTGTAAAGTGTAACTTAAGCTGTCCATACACCTGTCAGGCCTAGAAGCAGACTGATCATAGTATCTGACTGATAGGTTATGGTGAGTTCTTCTTTGACTAAACTGTTTCTAGGTCAGGTGTTAGTACCCTTGCACATGGGCAGGGGTGGGAAAGTAGGGTGGCCCGAGATTTGGTATTTTAACTATGTTGTTTCTAAGCATGATCTTTTGGAGATCACTTACGCTTAAGTTTCTGTGTCTTCTAACTTAATAGCTAAATGCACACTACTGTCATGACTAGCTTTCTGAATGTTGTCTCTGGCTGTTTTTATTCATATGGCATCAAATCCAATCTCACCTGTGACTCAACACCTTGCTCATCGAGTATTCTTTTTGCTATAGCTTATGTATACATCAGGTGTAGATATTTCGGTTATTTCAAACATCAGCAGGATTTGAAGAGCTGGGTTTGATTCAATCAAGTCCTCACAGCTCTTAGGTGTGATGGTTATAGGATACTTTGGCTGGCTTGCTACTTTCAATTTAATTGCAAAATAGGGATAAGGATTCTTTTGTGGTCATGAAAGATCAAGTGAAATTATTTAATAAACTACACTGTCATCTGGAAGGCATCCTGTAAGCAGGATGTTGCTTATGATTTGAGATTTGGGTACCCATTATGACACTTCTGTCCCACCATTCTTTCTTCTCTTGAACAAAGAATACAAATAGGTAAATGATGTGACAAGAAACCAAGAAACGGGAGTTGGGCAAAGTTAAGACATGGAGACTTGCTTAAACTGTAAGCTATGCTGTTTGTACAGGGGCAGGGTTAGGTATCAGCTTTTCACAGTTTCCCAAATAGGATACAGAAGCTTGAAGAACATGCCAGTGTCTGCCTTCCTTGTGGAAAAATAGGTGTCTCATTATCTCCCGTTATTGTTTCTGATATCCTTAAAACATCAGTGCAAAAGGGACTCCACTAAAAATGTAGATGTAGAAGGAGTCAGAGAGTTCAGAGATGAATGGGATAGTCATGTGCCTTTTCCCTCAGCTGCAATTTCTGATGGGGGAAATAGGAAAAAAAAAAGCACCACCACTATTAAAACACCGTCCAAGGAAAAGGTGAATGAGTATTGGGTTCTTCAGCATTTCTGCCAATGTAAGGCTCCCCAGGCAGGGGACAACACAATCTGCTATAATTGCTACATTCTCCAAATGTGAAGGAGAGCTAGATGTGGCTTCTGTATGCAAAAATAAGCTGTGGAGATATGAAGAATAGACGTGGAAGACCACAAGAAATGCGGGTAACTATGTGTTTTGGAAGCTCTCTAAACAATAACGCTTATAAAAGAAGAGTTTAAGGAGATATCTCATTTTCCACTGGCTCCTGGGGAGGTTCTGGAAAGTTTATTTCTGTTTCTTCTTCTTCCTCTTGTACTGGAATGATTTCAATTTCTTCTTCATTCTTTGGTTGGGAAGATACTCCACTTAGCTCAATGATTTCTTCTTTCATTTTAATAGTCTTCTCTTTTTTTTCTCCAGCTGACAGCAGAACCACATTCTAGAATATAAACAAACACCTCTTGACTTTTACACCCCCACCCCCAAACAATCTACATATGTCCAAGTGCCAGCTTATTCTCAGGCTTTTAATTTAATTAACTATATACTACAGATACTAGGATTGGCTACGTGGATGCTCCAGTTCTCACCAAATTACCTACTTATTAAACCTCGAGCCTGAGCAAATCATTAAAGACTTCAGGCACTTGGCATTTTGCCTGGAATAATCATGGCACATGGAATAATAACACATCGAAAATAGAGGCATTTAGACTGTAGAACTGTTTTGTCTTTAGTGATTATAACTCTCATTCCACCCCCTCCACATCTGTGTAATGGAGGCATCAGTAATAACTTCTAAGTTATAAGCTAAATCTTATAGTCTGTTGTTCTGGGGTCACTTATAATAGAGGTACTGTCCAAGTATTCATGTGTCCCAGCTTAGGAGACTCTTTGGAATACTATTGTCTTGGAAGTGGAATGACTTGGAGAGAGTGTAGGAGACAAGAACACTGAGAAATCCAAGAACCAGTGACTTGATCGGCCTTCAGCCCCCTGCCATCCTATGTTACACATTAGGATGGGAGGGAGCATGGAATGAAGGCACGAATAAAAATGGGCCCCACAGTCCATTTCTGAATACTTGTTCTGCAGTTGGTAGAACTGTAGGAAGTGTGGCCATGTGGGAGGAAATGTGGCACTGGTGTGGCTTTGAGATTTGGGAAGCCGAAGCCATTCCCAGTTAGCTCTCCCCACCTCATGCTGTAAGTCAGAAGTAAGCTCTCAGCTACTGCTCCAGAGCCATGGCCGCCTGCCCACCACCATGCCTTCCCCCTCCCCCTGTGATGCTCATGGACTCTAATCCTCTGAAGCCGTAAGCCCCAAATAAATGCCTTCTTTAATAAGTTGCCTAGAAACCAAGACAGGGTGGGAGTGGGAGTCTGAGGTCAAGTAGAGGGAAAGGCTGATTGGCAGGCACACGTGTGCACATGTGGAACGACAGCTGCTCCTAACCACAGACTCACTGACACTTCACAACACGTGCTGTGCCTGCTGCTATTTTGTTTTTCAAAAATATAGAAAAACCAGTTTGTTTGTTTTTTCAGTGAAGCTCCTAGTTTCAAAATTTCACCAGATCATATTCTATATAAATAATTCTTTTTTGTTTGTTGGTTTTGTTTTTTTGAGACTGGCTTTTTCCACGTAGCCTTAGCTTTCCTGGACTTACTTTGTAGACCAGGCTGTCCTCGAACTCACAGAGATCCACCTGCCTCTGCCTCCTTGATTGCTGGGATTTCAGGTGTGTGTCACTGTGTCCGGCTATAAACAATTCTTTGCAGATATTAATTTTCTAGGTTGCTATGACCAGGTAACCCCAACTTACAGATTTGGGTCTGGAGCACATTTTTCTCCATTCATTCTCCACGATGCCAGCTGTCACAAGTTTCTGCAAGAAGGCAGAGATCAGCATCACCGACAGAATGCCCTGGAAACCAACAGAACAAAGGCAAAAAGGAGATGTCAGGTGGGTGTGCTTAGTGTGTAGCAATGACAAATGACTGGAACTCAGTAAGCAAACATTCGGCTCAGTTCTTTAGGTAAGTAAACTGAGGAGAAAGGCTGCTATAAGAGACAGCATCTTCAGGCACAAGAAAGTAAGGTCGGAATGGTAAGCCGAAGGATCAGTTCTTTGTAAGAGTCTCACATTAAATTCTGTTAGCTTGGCTTTGTGGGTTCAGTTTCACTATGTAAACAAGACATAGTGGCACAGACTTATAATCTCAGCACTGGGTGAAGGCAGGAATATCAGAAGTTCTTGTCTACACAGTAAAGTGAAGGCCAGCCTGGACTACATGAGACCCTGTCTCAAAAGAAATAGCATCAGCTTTAGGGGATGTTATATCAAACCAAGGAAACTCCACAATGCTTGGGAGATATATTCCCTTTCCCCTTTAAACACTACATTCAAAATTAAGTGATGAATAATCGGTTACTAACATTTTAGGAATTTCTTCCATATTTTCATTATTAATATAATTATTAATGTCATCAATAATATTAACAATGACGAATGATGAACACTTAAAGCTTGCTGTAGTGGCACATGCCAGTAATCCCAGCATTCAGGAGGGAGAAGCAGGATTGTTGGGAATTTGAAGCTGGTCTAGGCTAAATTGACAGTAGTAGACCAGCCCATGCTACAAAGCAAGAGCATCCCTCAGAAGAAACAAAAAAGTCACAAATGGAACCTCCTGTACAAAAATAAAAATAAAAATAAAAAAAAAATAAAAAACTGCTCTAAGTGCTTCTCCCGTGGTACTAATTTATTTTGCAAACCAATCCAAGGATGTTACTCTCCCTATTTTACAGCTAAGGAAATGGAGGCAGTGTATGAGGAGGAATCTTAGGGCAGACACAGACTTCCTGGACCCAGAGTTGATGTTCATAATGAAGCATAGCACATCTTGTCTCTGGAGAAGCTCTCTCATACTCACCAAGAACATGGACTGCACGCTGTAACAGTACTGGGTAGATGGAGAGATTTTCTCTGAGGAATTAGATGGTTCACAGTTGTAGATATCAACATACAGCTTGGGAGTTTTACTAAGATTCAGACTCTCCATTTTTAAAAAACGAGAAATTGTAATGTTAAGTATGTCCATGACTGAAAGAATTATTCCAGTAATGGCAACAAAGAGGCTCAGGGAGTTCATTATCACTTTTGCTTTTACCTGAAACAGAGGCAGATTTGTTAATTAGATTTGTTTCCATTTAGAAAATATAAAGTAGGATATGGGATTCCCCCTGACTCATAAAGATGCCACCCTTGCATTCTATTTTAGTTCTTGCTATGGGTTTTAGCCTCTTGGTCACTGTAAAGTGCAACTTTTAGCCCTCTTCTCCCTCCTTTTCCAGTCCTCTCATCTTAAGCAATCACAATCCATTCAATTTATGAAACCAAACTTCCAGTGATCCTTCACCCTCATTTTGTATCCCTAAATTTTTTCATTGCCACCATCCTCAGACATGCAGTAAACACTTGCTGAGTAAATGAAGTTTAATGGCACACTGATTATCATCTCTTTGTATAATAAGGCAGTGGGAAGAGGGGTAAGAAGGCTTTTATATCATGACTAAATATCATTGATGAAGATGTAGATAGAACTTTCTAGGCTTGTACCATTATGCTGGCTAGTCTTGTGTCAACTTGACACACAAACTAGAGTTATCTGAAAGGCGGGAACCTTAATTGAGAAAATGCATCCATAAGATCTGGCCATAAGGTATTTTCTTTATTAGTGATTCATGGGAGAGGGCCTAGCCCATTGTGGGTGGTACCATTCTTGGGCTGGTGGTTCTGGGTTCTATAAGAAATCAGCCTGAGCAAGCCAGGGGAAGCAAGCCAGTAAGCAGCACTCCTCCATGGCCTCTGCATCAGCTCCTGCCTCCAGATTCCTTCCCTGTTTGAGTTCCTTCCTGACTTCCTTTGATGATGAATAGCAATGTGGAAGTGTGAACTGAATAAACCCTTTCTCCTCAACTTGCTTTTTGGCTACACTGCTTCATCACAGCAATAGAAACCCTAACCAAGACAACTGTCAAAATGATTCAGCCGTAATAATAACACCACCTGCTCCCTACTGACATCACCCCGGTCAGCTGTTTTCCCCAGTACCATTAGGGCAGATGTCTCTTGGTAACCCAGGCCAGAGGGCATGGTGGTGACTGCTCTGTCCTGCGCAGGTGTCAAAAGCTTGACATATCATATGCCCAAGACCATGCCCAGCATTACTGATGAGTGTCTCACAAAACACACGTTTTACTCTCGGCTATGTGGCCTCTTAATGGCAACTTGGTAGTTTTGTTTGTATTTGATATTGGTAAACAATTTATTTCTTCCCCCTATATTGAGTTCTTCAGGCCGCTTATGGAGAAACATCTCAATCTCCTCAGTTTCTCATCAGCTCAACGTGACTTAGGTTAGTAAGTGAAAGGATTGCTAGAGGGTTTCCTGGGGAAAAATGTGGTGGTAAGGTCTGGGCATCTATGCAGACGCAGGAATGCTCTAGGTTACCTTTTTAAAGAGAATATACATGAATTCTTATTGACAAGCCATTAGGCCTTATGGCTTCCACTATACCGTCCCACACTATGCCCCATTTCATCTTTATAATGATTCCCACATCAGGACTAGCACTTCTGTCCAGAGGGGAAGACCCAGGGGTACCCCTGTACTCACTCAGGGTTCTGACTTAGCTAGTACCCGACTCAAGCATACGGATCAAAAAAATTTCCCTAAATGGGGTGTCATTTCCCAGATGACATTCTTTCAAAACACGTCAGGTCTGTCATCTCCACAGGGAGCTTAGCATTGAAAGACTGAAAGTTCAGTCTCCTGAGCTCTGCCTTTGATTCCCTCACCATGGACAGACTTAAGGCAGATGCCAATTTTGAGTTTTTCATGATGAAAATCACATCACAACCAGGATGATACAGGATCCTTTTCTCAGAGAGAGAGAAAGAGAGCCTGTGATTGCAAAGCTCTTTAATGGTCCCCAGGGCTTGTTTTCAGCTGAGAAAGTAGCTGTGTCTCATGTGTGGGAAAGGACATATGATCACTTGCCAAACTCTTCCTGGAGGTTTGTTCTGCTGCCGCCGCCAGGAGTGACCCCGAAATAATGTACTGCAAAGAGAGAGTGGGGGTGGGGAAGAAAAGGAGCAGAAGGGGAGAGACACAAAAGGTTATTGTTTTCTACTGATAATTGATTGGGAAGGGACCACCTATATTTTTAGTGTCTTTTATTAAACTGTGCATCATATTTTATCACATTAAGTTATTTCTTGGTAGCTATATTTCTTTGTTATTCAGATTTCATACACCCAGTCTATGCTGGTCAATGTCTGGGGACCATTAGCTAGAAATAGAATAAGAAAAGAGAAACAGAAGTCACACTTCCTTCCTTGTCTGTGAGAACCCTCTGGGACCATACCATCAAATAGAAACTTAAAAAAAAAAAACATCCCTGATAACATGAATTACTCCTTATCTACACAGGCTGCAATTAGACTTAGTCACTAGTTTCAAAAACACAGCTAGGGTTGGTGCCTATGAGGCGTAGGTAGGACAGAATATCACTGTGAATTTAAACATTTTATTCTCTCTCCTTTTAAAAATAAAATTTTAAATTTATTTATTTTATGTGTGTAAGTGTTTTTTCTGCATATTTGTGCACCATGGACATGCCTGGCCAAAGAGGCCAGAAGAAAGTGTCAGTTTCCCCTGGAACTGGCATTACAGATGGCTACAAGCTGCCATGTGGGTGGCAGGAGCCGAACCTGAGTCCTCTTGGAAGAGCAAACAGCCAGTGTTCTTAGCCACTGAACCATCTCCCCAGTGCATCTCTCAGACTGTAATTAGTGAAAATGTTCTTGTGGGATGAGCGTGATTTAATAGCTTTGAGCGTGCAGAAGGCAGTACTTGTGTTGAGTACGATAGACTTCACCAAAGTGTTGGTTGCTACATGAAGTAATAGTGATTACTTCTTAAGTTTCTTTCCTAAGATTCAAGCCATAATGTGCAGAAAGCCTTATGACCAATCTACTTTGGTTCTAGAAACTTCAGTTCTGGACTCACCCTTAGAGGGACACAGCCATGAAAAGTGTCCTGGCAAAATGAACACTACCTAGCCTCAGGTCATCCGCAGAATGATAATCTGGGGGAATGTCCACACTAAGTAGCCCAGAAGAGCGCTGCTGAACTCGTAAGTACAGGAAGATCATTTGGGATGGGAATAATCCCATCAGGCGCTGTAGTCGATTAGCAAAACTGTAGGGGCATGGAGGACTTAGGATGTTCCCATTTCTCCTTTTCTTTCAAAGTGCCAGATATCTGGCATCTCACACCCTGTCCTCGTTGGCTGTGGAGAGAGCCTGCTTTGTTCAGGCTTCCCTCCATGAGAGCACCTGGCAGGGCTCCTTTCTGGGAGTCCACATGAGGCATAGCTGTGCTCATCCACAGGACCCAAGTGGTGCAGTCTACCCTTCTTCCTACCAGCTATTCCAACCCAATAAACTGTGCATATTACTTTCCTTGACAGAAGCAAACTAGATCTCTTTTGGCTTTTTCCCCCTCCTTCAACATCTCACAAATGGTTGCTGTTTATTCTAACTTACCATAATGCCTCCCCAGAGAGGGTACCATACACTCACACAGATGGGTGCGAAGACCCCTGTGGGGATCATCAGCAGTCCCCCCAGGGAAAGATGGAGGAGACCATTCATGACCTGGACAGCCTGAAGAGAGAAGAAAGACCCTGGTGTTGAACTGAACCCACTGGTGGAGATCAAAGGCAAGGTGGGAAGCCTGGCATCCAATTAAAGACCATGTAAGATCCTAACGCGGTGGTAGCGCTGCCGAGAACTTTGCCCTGTTCTCCTTCAGATCTATCTCTCCCACCACACAGGGCATTTCCAGGGAACACATATGTCTGGAATCTGAGCAATGGATGGACATCAGCCCAAGAGATGATGTCAGGTCACCCTGCAGTGCTCCAGGTTGTACCTGGTGCCCTCTGGCCCAGCCAACTGTGAAATACGAAGAACGCATCCACTTTGATCTGTCTGTGCAAGGTAGACTAGACTCCATATACAACCTGAAGCATCCGCATCTGTAGCCCAGGGCATTTTCAGAGTGCAGGACAGATGAGAGCAGCCTTACCCCCAAAGCTTTTGATTCCCTCATGAAGAAGCTTTGCGTGGGGCCCACCAGGGAAGATGTCCTCCTGAGGTTTACTTTTTGAGCAGGACGCATGGCCAGAGGGCCTTTGGCAGGCTCTGTTGGGAAGGTTCCACTCACTGAGTTTCTGGGTGTTGTCATTCTGTTCCCAAAGTCCTGAAAATAAAACAGTAAGGTGGGATCGAAGACAGTCTTAACCTTCTGGCACCATCTAATACTGCTCTTAGTATTCCCTCGATGGTGCCACTGAAGCATGCTCTCTTCCTGGTGGCTTCAGGTGTGAGGCAAGCTCTACCACTAGGAAAGGATCTGGAGGGGCTATCTCAGGCAATGAGAGGCTGTCCCAGGAACCTGAGCTAGAATGCCTACTAATCATGATTTGATGCAATGAGAGGCGGTCCCAGGAACCTGAGCTAGAATGCCTGCTAATCATGATTTGACACACATTAATGTTCAAGAAAACACTGTGCAGTCTATTACGGTACCAGGGAGTTATACCCTTAGAACACAGCTTGAATGTATATCCATATGCATTTTTGTCTGTGCTGGGGCCTGGATCCAAAAGCCTGTGAATGTTAGGAAAATGCCACTGAGCTTCATTCCTGCTCTACACATCTGTCTACCTGGTCCATCCTTGGGTGTTCTTTTTATGATTTAATGCTGCAAAACACACATATATTTTAAATTGGCTTGTACATCTGTCTCTGAATAGTGTGGTGGCCCAGAGGTGCCATTCCTGATTAAGGCAAGGACTGTTCTTAAAATCAGGAGAAATGGTCTTGGTCTCTCTCTTCCTCTGACTTTGAACAGGTTACAACAAGAATATTCTCTGATATCATGTGTTAAGTTTACAGCTTCTGCTTTTAAGCACTAATTCTAATTCCTCTGAGGTGATGCACAAGTTCTCTGGGCCTAGGCTTTCCAGCTCTAGACTGGAAATTGTAATAATCCCTGTCTCACAGCTTCTTCTAAGAGAAAGATGGTGATGGTTCATGTTTGTGTTATTTTTATTTGTTTGTTTGTTTCCTTTCACCTAGGCATAGCTTAAACACCAGCTTAAATACCCAGAGACCTTTTCTGAACTTTGAGGAACCTATCAGGCATGCTTTTACGTATGCTCTCTGCCTCAACATATCCTATTCTGTTTGCCTCATGCCAGTTATTACTTAATAATATTCAATTATTAAGGTAAATTACCTTATACACTTCTTTATTGCAGTTCCCTCTCTACAGAAATAAATGATGCTGTTGACCAGTATCTAAGATAATGCTTATGTGTTACAGCTTAATAAACATCAAAGGAATGCTAAATTTATGCAAAGCACCCATGTACGAATACTGTTGGCTGCTTTGTTGCCATTCTTGTTAAGTTGTACACTTCTGAGCTGTAGTTTCCATTTTACTCATCTGTAAAACGGGAACAGTGCCCTTCTCATTGAATTATCGTAAGAAACGAGTGGACATATGTGCCTAGGCCAGGGAAGAAAGTAGGGAGTGGCATCTGTTAGTGCTCAGGAGTTGTTTCTGAAGTGATGAGGTGACAAGACACATTCATTCCAGCTCTGACAGGTTAAGGCTATTCAGCTTTCTTCACATGTCCCGTGTTGGGAGTCTTCATCCATTTGTTATGTCAACCACATAAATGAATTCCATCGATACTTTCCTGCACGCTGGATGTCCCTGTCTAGGACCGACCACACATCTGGATGTCCCTGTCTAGGACCACACATCTGGCCTCATCTTTGCTGATAGTAAGCTGTGGAATTAAAACTGTCTACCCAGGTTGCTGAATCTTACTAAAGTCATGGAAGGCTGGGCAGCTGAATCTCTTACACGTTTGCCTAGTTTATAATTACAAAGAAATCCCATCTGAGATGTCTCTTCTGAGCACAGTAGAGGACACAAGGGATGAATCATTGCCTCTGTTTTATAGAGGAGTAGACAAGGATAGACATGTTAGGCAACTCACTGGAAGTCATATAATTGCTAATGATCTGAAAAGAAGCCTCTGATTGTCAACTGCAGTGTCCATGACTCACTGCTTTGACTTTTGTGGGGGTAACAGTTCAGTTTCTCTTCCTTTCCCTTCAAAATATGCACATACCACATGGCTTAAAGCAATACAGAATACGATCTGTTTGCAGCATGGGCTTCAGGGAAGTTTCTCACTTGATTTCCCTCCTGTTCTAAATTAGCAGCCGTTGCTTGGCCCAGGGGAATCTGTTTCATGCCAGAAACCATCCCATGAGACCACCAACAACAAAAAAAAATTTACATAGCCCACCAAGGACTTTGCAAATGAATTCCGGTCTAGCACTAGAAAAATCCCAGAAACCAGTTTGCTCATGTCACAAATATGGGTCCTGCCCCTGGACATGGGGCATCATTTCCAAAAGACCTTATACTTAGCAAGGAAGCCAAACTTGAAGGCGCTGGCACTGATGCTCATTCTGTAGACCCCAAGGGACACAGTATGTGTTCAGGGGACTCCAGATCACAGCAAGGATTGTCTGGCATATTGATAGGGTTACTGACCACATTGGTGAAAAATGTGACAATATAGGGCTTTATTTTCACAAATATAAAAATCAATACTGATACTGAAATGATAACCTAATTTGCTCACACACCATCCCTCTTTAACACCCACTGAAACTTGCACAAACTCTTTTGACTTCTAGATCTTTTTTTTTTTTTTTTGTCCATTTTCTGAAGATCTCACAGCATTGTCTATGATTTTAGTTTAAATAATGACTTTTAGGTCCAATAATTCCATCATCTACTGAGATGCTTGAGGCCCCCCGACCTCAACTTCCCCCTTTGCCACTCAAAATAGTTTTGCATTTCTTCTTCTCTCCCTTCTGTGCTATGGCTGTGTGTAAATCTTACATTCTTTCCTTCTCAACTCTTTCAGTCCATTTTCTTCCCCCAGATGCTTGCTCTTTCCAGAAATCCCCTTTTCCTGGACCCACTCTTACTCTTTGTGTGGCATCATGTGGGATAAAGAGTTCCAGCCCTTTTCACATTTGTGATCTTTGTAAAATTAGGGTAAGGTGTGCTGTGATCGATATGTCAATAAATATTCAAGGAATAATTATTATTACTGGCCTTTACTGTGACAAAAATGTGCTACCTTGTTCTCCAGTCCCCAAACTCCCATTTCAAAATATAGCAATGTCTTGCATGACTACCCCATTTTCTCCTTTCTTCACCCCAGCTTCTTCAAATTTTGCCTTCTCCCCTTTAACCCAACTTCCTCCTCACTCACACAGTCCCCAGTATTCTTCAACTAGTTTCTGCCATTCAACCAAAACTTCTCTGTACAAAGATTGTGCTGTAGCCCGTGGGCCTTTTTGGGCACAGTGCCTCAGGTCACTTTATTTTGCCAATTGCTCAGACCTAAGAGCTTGGAACCAGGGGGCTTGTGAGATGCCTCAGTTCATGTTTCACAAGCATGAGGACCTGAGTGTGGATTTTGGCATCTACAGTAAAAGCCAGCTGTGGTAGTGTTCATGTGTAACTTCAGTGCTGAGGAAGTGTGGACAGGCAGATCCCCAGGACTTCCTGGCCAGCCAGTTTAGCCAAATTTGTATGTCTCAGGTTGGGTGAGAGACCCTGTCTTGTGACTGAAGAAGGCATCTGACATTACATGTCTTTCACATGTATGTACATGGATGCACACACACACATACACACACACACACACAGGCTTGGAGGCAGATTTTAATCCTTATTATGGCCCTTTTCAGTCCTGCTTCTTCAGCACCCTCACATATTCAAGCAACAGCAAAATCATGCTATTTCTACCTCTTAATACCTCTTGCACATGTATGTTCACACCACACCTAATACCTGTAGATTTATTCCCATTTCCTTTCTTGCTATAGCATAAGAAAACATATCTTGTGGATGAGACCAGCCAGATGGTTTGTTGCCAAGGCTGATGACCCAAGCTCCATCCCCAGGACTTACACGGTAAAAGGAAAGCCCTGACTCATGGAGATTGTCCTCTGACCTCTACATGCATACACACACACACACACACACACACACACACACACACACACACGAGTAAATAAATGTAAGAAATGTTAGAAACGCTGTGGTTATTGTTTTCCTTCAATGCCCTTTTTAAATACACCCTCCACAAAGCAGCTAGGACACATAGCCTTAAATCTCTGCTCAGTTTTGCTCTTCCTGGGCTACAGCTCTCACCAACCTATCTCATTACCTCTAACTCACTCTCTTTGCTTTCTTTCTTTCCTTCGTTCGTTCCTTCCTTCCTGTTTGTTTCCATGACTGGGTTTCTCTGTGTAGCCCTGACTGTCCTAAAACTCTCTTTGTAGACCAGGCTGGCCTCGAATTTACAGAGATTTTCTGCCTCCCGAGTGCTGGGATTAAAGATGTGCACCACCACACCTGGCTTCTCCTTGCTTTCTTGAGACACCCTTCTGACTCCTCATTGCAGTCCAGCTCTGGATGGCTTTCAGAGCCCATGGCCCCAGCTGTCATGGCCAGACAGATTCCCTGCTTTCTTTGCTGAGTCTGCAAAAACTTTGAGCTAGTCTTTCCCACTCTCAACCAACACGAACCGACTATCATGTTACCTCAGGCCAATCCTCACCTGATGGTAAGAACATTTTCAAAGTCAACATCTGCTCACATGAATACTTTCCTACCAACCACTTTTACTTTAGCGTGACATGTAACTCCTGAAACACAGTGTCAACCCAGTGAAGGGACTTTGCAGGATTATGCGGGGAACCTGTCTCCTGTGGTGCTGTGAGCTCAGTGTTAAACAGACCATCAAGCTGAGCCCCCTGTAAACCTCCTTTGGCAGGTCTCCAGACAAATGCTCAGGATGCTGTCTATTCACAAGATGAGGACCTCCACTTCACCTGACCATTGGTGAGACCAAACCATTATATGGGAAGCAGGGAAAGTCAGCCCCCCGAGACACACTTTATTGTTTAGTTTTAGGATCACGTTAGAACCTGGTTAAGGTCAATCCCTCTATACTGTCTCCAGCGCCCACCTCACTCTTGGCTTCTTAAATTACAGACAGCAGGATTTGTGCTTGCTGTATCGATGACATGTAGAAAATGCTAGATACTGAGGTCAAATACCATCACGAGGCATTTACGTTTATCTTTGGAGACAAAATCAGCCGAAGCAAAAGGAACGGAATTAGATTCTTATGCCCAGGATTAGTTTCTAATTTGGTCTCAGGCAGTCCTAAAAAGCTTTGTATTTTAGGTTTAATTTTGAGGATGCAAGAGGCCCTCACTGTCACTCCCATCTTATGGATGAGGAAACTGAGGCATGGAAAGGTTTGGCAACTCACCCAATGTTATGCAGCATCTATGTAGTGGAGCCCTGGGTTGAGCCCAACATTCTAGAGATCTCATGTCCATGCTAGAATCTGCTCACCACCCACTTTCCCGGGTTGTCTTTGAGAAGGGGCACAGTTAGGAGGAGTGTGCAGCCTTGAAATCTCCACAGTTGAAATCATGCTGCCATTTGAAAGTCTCACCAGGAACACCCCAGACCAAAGGCAACTCCCTAATCTCTAAAACCACTCCTGTCCCCATCCAGCCTTTCTTTTCAGTCGAAAAACAAGGCAAACCCATTCCTTACCGAGTCTCTTAAGGCTTCTTAAGGCTCAAGGGCCAATTTCAGCACTCACCACTGAGATCAGCCGGCCTCTTCTCCTATCTCGAGTACTTGAAGATGAGTGAGATAGACCAGGCCTGCGGTGGTACCTCTGATTGACACCAGGTGACAGGAAATTAGCAGCTTCTGCTACCTTGAGATGTGCTCCAATCACTTCACTTTGATATAAAGGATATACAAAAAAGTTTCTGTCGTACCAGGAGGTTTCAGTTCTTGAAAAATACCCTAGGGACTGCCTGGTGTACTTCATGCTACCTTAATTAGAAGAACTTCTCCAGCCTCCACCCTGTAAGCAGGTGTGGGCGGTGGGTCCCTAAGGGCTAGAAGGGCACTAGAAACTCTGTAAAGATGCGCTCTTAGGGACTGACTTTACCTTCATGCTTTGCTTTCAGGGTTGTGTAGGTGGGAGAGGCACCCAGGCAAAGACCCAGGATCCCTGAACAGGCACACTTGGGAGTGTTGTACCTATTGGGTTTCAAACAATACTATCATTTATTCGCTCATACTTGAAATTCTAGAGGGCCATGTAAATCTTATGTCAAATTTAGCAGAAGTAGCCTGAAAGACATTTCCATAGCACATGCACCCAAAAGCGTGAGGCAAGACACAGCTCCCAATTTGGGTGCTCTGAATTGAAACAGCACTTTTACACACACACACACACACACACACACACACACACACACACACACATCCTTCTTCTTTATCTTTCTGCTTCCATCTCTTTGCAGTATTATTTGTAGCTGTGTGGCCATCAATGCTAGATCAAGCAGGTAAGTGGAGGAAGTTGGTGGCACAGGGAAAGTCTAAACATTAGGGAGGTGAATAAAAGATTTTGCTCAAGAATATTATCCTCTCTTCCATATACAACCTCTAGGCTCATATGTTAGGCTTTTTATTAATTTTTAATTTTATTGTCAATTATTTTATTAGACACACAGACCTGTATATAGGTAACTTTGTCCATTTTACCTAAAGGGTTGAAACATAGTAACTATATCAACCAATATGAGGCCTCTCACCCTTTCTCTCTCCGTATTTCTCTCTCTTTCTCTTTCATTTAAGATGGTTTAGAACCATATAATTTGAGCCATTGAGAAGACATATTTCTGGGGAGGCTGGTTTGGGTGGAACATAAACAAAAATGTCAACTCTCTATCACTGAAGTAGTTTATTAATGGGACAAGTGATTGTTCAGGTAGAGAATATACTGCTGTTCAGAAAACTGAGGTCATAGACTTTCAGTCACCTGCCAGGAATGCTGGAGTGAGGATGGGAGTGAAAATGGCAGGTGTACCACCTACTCAGGATTCCCGCTGGGAGCCTGCATATCTGTTGCAATGTGTTGGATGTAATGACATAATATCTTAGTCTGTTTTGTGCTGCTCCAGTAGAATATCTTAAGACTTTTATACATTTATAAATTAGGATGACTTATTATAGTTTAGGAGTCTGGGAAGTCCCAAGGTCGGGGGTTCCACATATGACAGGGCTTTCATGCTCTTATACCCCGGGGAGAAGGGCAGAAAAGCAAGAGAACACATTCATGGAGGGATGCTGGGGTAGGTACTAGCTGGCTTCCGTGGCCACAGTGTTAGCGTTTGTAACGGCTGAGTCCTTATGACCAATCACCTTAAGGCCCACTTCTCTGCACTGTGCCACTGGAAATTAACTTTTCTAATCTAAGATCTTTTGGAATGTATTCAAACCATCACTCTCCAGGCCCGGGCTATAGATGTCTGTGAGACCTGAAACTCATATCCAGGTGTGGAGGGTGGGCTGGAGGCATGTACCTTTCAATGCGCTGTGTGTGGGAACAGAACAAAGCCTTGCAAATATGCATGGCCTTTGAGAATCCTGACCCAGTGATAGATAACCTGACCCTCATACCTAAGTTCCATTTTCCTCCAGTCTTGGGCCGTTTGTTGTTCTAGTCTTTCTAGCCAATGAGATGTTCCTCGGCTCAGTGTGAATCCCTCCCAAAGGACTCAAATTCAGTTTATAGGGTCAACTTAAGTTGTCTTTGCTGATTTGAACTGAGTGTGCCCTTATGTCCATCACAATGAGGACTTGTCAGCTCCACTGCCTTTGATTCTCTGCCTTCTATTTTGTTTGACATTTTGTTGATGATATAACATGCTTAACACCTTTTTTTTTTCTTTTGCAGCATACTTTTCATTATCCTGTGGCCCCGATTTTGAAAAGATGCTGCCTGACAGTGTACATAAAAGTGTGACAACTCTTAATCCAGTTAGCATTTGCAGATCCCCATATATCCCCCCTCCCCCATCTCTCAGTCCTGTGTTTCCCTCTTCTGAAGAATGCATTATACATCATGGTTGTGTGCTCTCCTTACTCAGCATTTGGTCTCCATGTCTTTTAAAAGCAGGCTTAGGCCTTTCTGTGTCTTGTGCTTTCTGCAATGTTACAGGGCCTAAAAGTTCTGTTTGCCTCTTTATCCCGTGTTGCTGAGGACCAGCAAGCTGCTCAGAATTATAAAGTGATGAGAACAGAGGCGTGGTATTGAAGTGAAGTTGAATCTGGGTATAGGCCTAAAGATCTCAATGTTGTACCTATAATGTAAGTTTAAGTATTTAACATTTGTATAGTTTTGTGTTCTGAAGGAACACTTCACATTTCTAACAGGAAAGTAACGTTCATCAAATGCCCACAAACATGTTAAACACTGCCAGTGTAAAGTCTGAAGACACACACAGTGTCAACTGATTTTTTTTTAAAGACTTATTTATTATTTGTACAGTGTTCTGTCTGCATGCATGCGTGCAGGCCAGAAGAGGGCTCAAGATTTCATTATAGATGGTTATGAGTCACCATGAGGTTGCTGGGAATCGAACTCCAGACCTTTGGAAGAACAGGCGATGCTCGTAACCTCTGAGCCATCTCTTTAGCCCCACAACTGACTGTTTTATGATTAGAGAAACCAATGCTCAGGAAATAGAGAAGCTGGTCCTCATCACACTCTGAGAAATCAGTAAAATAATGTTTTAAGAGTAAGAAAAATTGTAACTATAAGGCCCTTACACCATTGCCCAATGACTTTAAAATTCCAAGTGCTGAGGCTCACAGCACAGCGCTAGGAAAGTGTTACTGAGTTTTAGCCTAGGGATTTGAAGCCTGTACCGTTTAAATAGGTTCAAGTTATGTGACTGTGCGTGATAAGTGACATTCAATAACCAGAATCGATCACAAGTCCTTACCGTCATGTGCCAGGTTTTCACCTTGAAATATTTCTAAAGCCTCACCTATCTGAACACCACTTACTCAGTTACCAAATATTCTTTCATCAGAACCTTTCTCTATGGGAAATAAAAACTTGTCTCCTGTCCCTCACCTTCATACATCCCCTTTCAGTTTAGACCACACATAGTTTCCTCCCACCTTAGTGCAGATATCTAAGAAAGCTTGTTTATTCATTTGAGCAGGCTACAATTCTCCCTAAGCCCAAGATAGCATGAAACATGAGGTTTGCAGATGAGGATCTTAATTCAAATTTGTTTTTAAGTGAGATTTCTTTTGAACTCTAAGAAAAATTGGCTTCTGTGAGTTTCACTTTCGTGTCTGTAACCAAAGGCACACCTCCTTCATTGGGCAGCCATGACAGTTGAAATGACACAGGAAGTGTCTCAGTGCTCAGCAATAGCTAGAGTGCAATGCAGTACAATGTAGTGGCTCTCAGAGGTTTGGAAATCTGAGGTCCTCAAGACCATTTTGTTTTGTTTTGGATCCATGAGTTCAAATGTTTTCAAAACAACATGAGGATCTTAAAAGTTTTATATTTTATGTAACTGTATGCATGTGCCTGCATGGGTGAGTGTGCCCCACAAGCCTGCAGGTACCCATGGGAGCCTGAAGAGGGTGTAAGAGTCTCTGAAACTAGAGTTATTGGAGTTGTGTTCTGTCCAACGTGAATGCTGGGAACCAAACTATGGCAGAGCAGCAAACAATCTCAACCTGAGCCATTGTTCCAGCTCCCACATTAAGATCTTATTTAGCAATTTCAGTAGATCATACTGCTGTATCCCACGGGTGACAGAGCATGAGACATGACAGACTGACTGCAGCCAAGAGTCACGCAGATGCTCTAGTTGCCCTGTCTTCCTACTATGTTGCCTTAAAGAAGTCTCTTCCAGATGTCCTCTGCATTGGAGTCCCCCAGGATTCTGAAAACTGTTCAAGTGCGTGGCTCCCACCACACTCTAATCTAATTGGTATATGTGTTGGAGTCCCCTATAAATCTCTGAAAACTGATCTAGTGTGGGTCTCCAATCCCACTCTGAAGTAACTGATGTGTGCCCATTGTGTATTGGGGATTCTGGAAGTCCCATGGATGATGTGATTGTGCAACCAAGTCTGTGTCCCATTTATTTTATTAAGGGGTTTCGGAAAGAAAACCAATGCCATTCCCCTCACAACTTTGGAAAATACAGTTGTTTTGGAAAAAGGGTATTTCTGTTAACATGTGATGACTTTTAATTTTGAAGGTTATAAAAGGGTTTGTTCAGAGACTCAAAGAGCTCTTGAGAGATAGATGTTGTTAGATGAGTGAGAGCTCTTAGGCTGTGGAGCCAGACTGCATGCTGATGTGGACTTACCACTGTAAGCCATGCAATCTTGAGCAAATCTTACCCTTTTTGCACATCACCTTCCTTGTCTGGATATAATAATAAAATTTGCCTCAGAATTTTTTGTGAGGTCAAAAGCAGCTATATCATTTGGCACACAGTCTGGGACATAGTGGCTCCACCAATATCTGCCATCATTCATTGGTTATTGATTTGAGTATTTATCTTAGTTTCCTTCTCTGTTACTGTTGTACATACTACAGCCAAAATAAATTTAGGAGAGGAAAAGGGTGATTTATCTTATACTTTCAGGTAACAGTCCATCACCAAGGAAAGCAGTCAGAGACTCAAAGCAGGAATCTGGGGCAGAAACCATGAAAGAATGCTGTTTACTCTGGTCTCTTACCAACTGTGATAGTCTGAATAAAAATGGCCCCCATAGACCCACAGGGAGTGTCACTACTAGAGGTGCGGCATTATTGGAGTAGGTATAGCCTTTTTGGAGGAAGTGTATCTCAGTCTTCTAGATGTCTATGGATCCAGAAGTAGAACTCATAGCTCCTTCTCCAGCACCAGGTCTGCCTGCATGCTGCCATGCTTCCTGCAATGATGATAATGGGCTAAACCTCTGGAACTATAAGCCAGCCTCAATGTTTTCCTTTGTAGGATTTGCCAGGGTCATGGTGTCTTTTTACAGCAGTAGAAACCCAAAGGAAGACACCCACATGATCAGCTAGCTTTTTTTTCTTTTAATACAGCGCTTCCCACCTGCTGGTGGATGATACAGTGACATGGGCCCTTCCACATCAAGCATCACAGTGTCCCATAAACATAATCACAGGTCATTTTATATGGGCAATTCCTTTTCCCAGTTAGTGTCAAGTTTAAAATAAAAACTAACCAGCATGGTAGAGTTATTCTTGTAGATGTCTGGCCCATAACAAGTGACAATCTTGTCACTTCAAAGTAAAATTTGTTGACCAACCCATTCTTCCTTCCAGTTTGTCTTCTTGCTTCATGAAGTAGGAACCCTTGTGTGGAGTCTCTTAGGAGACTCATCAGGATACTGTAAAGAGTAGGGAAGCCATATGACTTCATCACCCTAGAGTCTGAGCTTTGGCTTATAAAGTGGCCATGCCACAATGAACAAGAGGGGTAGTTATACCAAGGTAATCATTCTATTATAGGAGGAAATGGCACTACCAAGGGGCAGGATGGGTTTCATCAGACAAAATGATCATTTTTGAGACATTCCCAACTCCCTTTCCTTCAAATAATTGTGAACTTCAAGTACTTATGTGTGTTGGTTCTTTCTTACAAGCACTATTGGCCTCTAAGTTGTATCATTTTGCATCTTTGCTTGCACAGTGCTATTCAACAGAATGCCTCACAGTTTTCTGAGGAGCATCCCAAAATTGAGGAAAAGAGGGAAATGAATAGTTCAGCAATGCTGAAGAACATCAAAATTGTCAAAATCCCCTGCAACAGAAAGAAACAATGGAATCATATATTAGGACAGTGATGGGTTTTCCAATTACAACGAAGTAGCCATTACCACATAATAAACCTTTACCTCTCAAATTAGTGAAAAATAATGGGAATATAAGCTATACCAGCATAGCATAGGACAACATACTGTTTTTTAAAGAAAGATTAAACAAGATATTTGCTAAATTACATACATGAAGTTCTCCATTTCATAGGCACAGCCTACACAGAAGGATGCATATCAAAAAACGGTCTCTTGAAGAAAAATGAGAAGAAAGCCAGGATAGGAAAACAGTAGAGACAAAATTAGAAAAGGAAGAAAACAGTGGGGGAAAGAGAATACTACTACTACAGAAAAAGGGTAACATACAGAAAAAGACATGGAGAGAAACCTAGGCTAAAGCCCTACTCAGATCTGATTGCTGCAGAAGACTTTTAAGCTAGTCACCATGGTAGCTGAGCGCACACAGCCACAGACACCTGGACAGGAGTCTACAGGCCGAACCCTGACACAGAGTCAGTCGAAACCTGCCTTCTTCTAAGAGCAGATCCTTCTATTGCCATTATAAAGGTTCATGTGATTAAAGGCCTGTTCAGTGCTGTATTTGTCTATCATATTCCAATGATAGGTTGAATAATTATTTGATACCACCTTTTTTTTTTTTTTAACAGCATTCTAATATGTCATGGCGTAAGTATTTGAATACTTTACACTTCTGTCACAGGAGCTGACACACTTCTGTCTTTTTGCTCTGGTTTCCTTTTGTGTTATTTGTTTTGCTCCGAAGAGTGCTGCAGCAGTGCTCTCGTATTCCACGTGCACAAGCGCCACACATGGTGGGAGACTTGTGCTGGGCTGAGAGCTCCGTGTGCCTTTTATCTGAGTGGATGTTGTCTCCTTGCTGTGGCGATGGATTTTACTGTGTCCCTTCCTGCCATCCTATTTTCTCCTTAACCCTGACTGCAGCCTGGGAGCTTCGGATTGAATGCTAGTGAGTGCTCATCACGTTGATTAATAAATTACCAGACTTTTGATAAAGTAAGTTGAAGGATATTTTGCTTTTTTGTTTATCTATCTATCTATCTATTTATCTATTTATTTATTTATTTATTTATTTATTTATTTATTTATTTATTCATTCATTCATTCATTCATTCATTTAATTATTGAGACAAGGTTTCTTTGTGTAACAGAGCCCTGGCTGTCCTGGACTCACTTTGTAGACCAGGCTGTCCTTGAACTCACAGAAATCTACCTGCCTCTTCCTCCCAAGTGCTGGGATTAAATGTGTGCACCACCATGCCCAGCTGCAAATTGAAGGATTTTATAGATGGACTTAGACTGAGGAAGACCTTCTCATAGCTTGTTGAGTGTTTTTATCATTTAATGATCAATTTAGTAAAATGCTTTTTGTATGTCCATTGAAATATCATGTGGGGCTCATCTGGTGTTTTGTTGCTATGTTATAGTAAATACATAGATTTTGTTAAACATACCTTGAATTCCTGGGACACATGGTGTCTGATTGTAGTTGGTTATCCTTTGCTCACATCATTAGATTCAATATGCTTCTATCTGACTAAGGATTTTTTTAAATTAAATTTTTATTTTTTATGTTAATTAATTTTATATTAATTAATTAGTTTGTTTTGTATCCTAGTTGTAGCCCCCTCTCTCATTCCCTCCCAATCCCACCCTCCCTCCCTCATCTCCTCCCATTCCCCTCTCCAAGTCCATTGATAGGGAGGTCCTCCTCCCCTTCCATCTGACCCTACCTTATCAGGTCTCATCAGGACTGGCTGCATTGGTCCTCCTCTGTGGCCTGGCAAGGCTGCTCCCCACTCTGGGGGAGGTGATCAAAGAGGCAGCTACTGAGTTCATGTCAGAGACAGTCCCTGTTCCTTTTACTAGGGTACCCACTTGGATACTGAGCTGCCATGGGCTACATCTGAGCAGGGGTCCTAGGTTATCTCCATGAATGGTCCTTGGTTGGAGTATCAGTCTCAGAAAAGACCCCTATGCCCAGATTTTTTGGTTCTGTTGCTCTCTTTGTGGAGCTCCTGTCCCCTACAGGTCTTACTATCTCCTTCCTCTTTCATAAGATTCCCTGCACTCTGCCCAAAGTTTGGTTAAGAGTCTCAGCATCTGCTTTGATACACTGCTGGGTAGAGTCTTTCAGAGTCCTTTGACTGAGGACTTTTATATCTATATTTATAAGAAATATTGGTGTATAGTTATCTTTATGGGTTTTTGGTGTTTGGGTCTGGTTAATTTCAGCCTTACAGAACAGCCTAGCACTGTCACAGTGATGTCATATTAGATAGCTTGTCTACCCATCATCTTAAACCTTGAACTAGCAGGGGAAAAATACTCAGGAAGATAAGAAAGGCATAATTGATGGCAACTTGCTCTTTGAAGGAAGGTGATTTTGTTTCAACAGTGTTGAATGGATAAGATATAGTTGCTAATCCCAAAGAGTTTGAGAAGCCCCATCTTATAGAATATCTGCCTCAGAATTTCTTAAGGATTAATGTCTGAGTCTACATGAGGTGTACAGGTGGCAACAGGTGGTGGTTTTAGTAAGATTTTATCTATTAATGCTCCAGTATACATCTTTGAATATGCATGTATATATAAACATATCTATAGGTTATATAGATATAAAATGCATTATGTATATCGGTATATAATCCTTTGGTGAAAATCACAACGAATAATTATAGTGGTACTTTCTGGGACTCATCAGCAGTATAAATAAGAACACAGGATCTTCCATATAGTTTAAAGCTTAGGCTGTTCACTATGGCTGTCTCCAGGCTAGCCCACCTAACTTAACCCAACTACCTTGCCTACAGCTCACCATGGGGCTAGCTCTATACCTTTCTGCTCCACTGTGGTCTACTCTCCACCTCTCCTCTCTCTCTCTCAGAAGTTCTACTCACTACTTCCTGCCCAGATATTGGCTGTCAGATCTTTATTACAACCAATCAGCAGCAAGACAACACCTAAGTATTGACATATCTCTTAGATTGCCTTTAGGCAAAAAGGATGAATACAAAGCCAGTGATGGATCATAGAAATGACAATACCAATATCCTGGCAGCATTTAGCTCTCTGCTGGCACAGCATTAACAATTGAAAATACACACACCTTCACACAATGTAAAAAAAGAAAAGTTACCCCAACAAATGATAATTAGGTTAGATTGGATTATTGACAAAGGAGCATGGTGTAGCTTGTTCCTATTAGTCATTACCCATAGAGTCATTTCTTTTTATACAGTTTGAGTTGAGAAAAGTTAGAGGGGCTTCTAGAAGTTATTGGTCATTTGTCCTCAGATATCCTTTAGCATTAGCAAGACTCATTTCAAGTATTTAGCATTCTTGAATCATATTGTTAGTGTCTACTGAAGGTCCAAGTCCCAGGTACCTAGAGGTGGGGCTGAGGAATGGGAAGAAATCAGAAGTTTGGTCTGTGGCTAAAGTTTCTTGTCTTCTTCTTCTTCTTCTTCTTCTTCTTCTTCTTCTTCTTCTTCTTCTTCTTCTTCTTCTTCTTCTTCTTCTTCTTCTTCGTCTCCTCCTCCTCCTCCTCCTCCTCCTCCTCCTCCTCCTCCTTCTCCTTCTTCTTCTTCTTCTTCATTAGTGTGTTCAGTCAAGCTTCTGTACACTTTGAGGCAGGGTACTTTGTCTTTGTCTTTACCTGAGGGGTCAAAAGCCTATTGAGGGCCCAGGTCACTGTGGACTTACCTTGAGTGGCTGCTGGCCCTTCACATCTCTCTCATAATCAGATTTCAGAAGGTTAACACTGACATGTATCTGTGACACAGAAGCACCCTCGCTCTTCTTTAACATCCTTTTTAGAAAGTCCAAGTCCTAAGCTCTTATTTTCCAAACTAATAGTAGTTATAGCAGATTTTTTTTAAGGTTTTTAAAATATTTTGAGGAAGTTTTGTTTCACTTATGTTTTATATGTAGCACTTTGTTTTCAGAGAAGGGCTAATTTGGAAAGTTCAGCTCAGCATGAGCAAGATTCTCTTTTCCTGCTCCTCTGCCCCCCAATTTGGAGTATCCTATTACACCTAACTGCACCACACACTTAGAACATGTCTCTTTTACCTGAACCCCATTCTCTTAGGTAGTTTTCAGCTTCTTCAGCCTTCTGGAGGGTACTGGGATCCAAACTATTGTCTCATACTGACTAAGCATGCACTCTACCACTGTTAATAGTTAACCATGCTAGTAGTCTTTAATGTGCCTATTTGACTATCATTTATTTCTATATAGATTTATTCATAGCTTTTACATTTACACCAATTATTGTAGTACTCTGAACAGAGCACAAATATCTATTTTCAATCTACCACACTTTATCAAAAATCTAATCTAGATATTAAAACCAAATAAGAAAAAACAGACACTCAGTTATAATGTATACCATGAGCTACGAGCCACGAGACCACTGCTAAAGCCTCTGTGTTTTAGAATAATTTTATATTTGTTATCCTTGTTTACTTGCATGTTTTATACCTTTTATAAGTTTTGAGTGTTTGTTGTTCTATTCTGCAATGCCTGTTATAATGTTGGCCTAATCCAATGGGCTCTTGAATGAGCAAAAGAAAATATGCATGTGTCTATAATACGGTCTGGATGGTGCTGACTGGGTGCTAACTTGTTTGTTCTAACCGTCTGCTTCTCAGTCTAGAAAGGGCACAAGGCACTTACGATGAATAGAACAGTGGCCACACTACAGTGAATACCATCTGGAGAATAGCCGCAGATGTAAGCTCCGTCTAGAAGGAAACCAAATATGAGGAGGATGATTCCAGCTGCTGCTGCCAGGGCGCTAAGTAAGTTCATCACCTGGCTCAGTCTTATCTGCAACAGAATCAGAACATAACACAAGACTCAGACCTGCCTTGGACCACAGACGGAACAGTGGGGGTGGGTGACTGGAGAGCTGGGTTTTCACAGCACCACGAACCAAGAATGTGTTTATTTACAACTCATACTGTATCTTAAGCCATTCATCCATAGATACCCTCTCCACTCTCACAATCTGCATTCAAATAAAGGTAGCTATGGCCTATGTAAATGTTCATTTAAAGACTATTTCACTTAACACTGCATTTCTCTGTCACTTTTACATCTTCCTAAAAGTACAGACTTTTAGGGCTCATGAAACAGCTCAGCAGATAAAGGCACTTGCCCTCTGACAGCCCGAGTTCCATCCCTAGGACCCACATGGCAGAAGAGAACCATCTTCTACAAGCTAGCTTTTGATCTCCACAAGTACACTGTGGCATGGAAATGCAACCCCCCCCCCACATAAACATATCTAAAAAATAAAAGCAAACACATTTTAAAATTATAAAATTTTAGGTTGTTCTTTGATGCAAACAACCTACTGACTTATTACTATCTCTTTGAGTAAGATACTTCCACAAACTTACATAAATCAGCAATGTATTCTTTACCTCTGGAGTCCGCTTGTGATTTAATTAGTTTGTGTACGCTGTGCTTTTCCTGTGAGTCAAGCTACAGCCTGTTAAAGCATCTGGTATCCAGTAGGCACCAAAACTACTCATAGAAAGAACAAATGTGTGAATGATTGAATCACTGAGACCCAGTCCGCATGAACAGCTGGGGACCTTGGACACAGTCACTGAACTTTTCTGTGTCTCAGTATCTTCTTGTAGAACATGAGACTCAAACCTGGAAAAGTGTCCCTATATTTTTGATTCTATGATTATTTTCAAAGTCAGGAAAATCACTTTACCAGTTATAATTTTCATTAAGGTAGAAACAGAACTCACCAGAATGTCCGTAGTTTTTCTCTTCAGAGCAATCAGAAAGGCTCCAGAGTTAATAAACTACAAAAAAAAAAAAAAAAAAAAAAAAAAAAAAAGGGAAAGAATAGATATCTTAATGATGGCCATGGCCAGATGATACTGAGGCTCTCTCTTAGGTCAGGACTCTGTCCACTGCTTCCTTTTGCCTTTCTTCTAAGCTCACAGAAACCCCAAGGGAATGAGAAGGGTGAGCCATCTCACACGACTGTCCACAGAACAGAGGACAAAATGAGGGATCTGCTTTAGTCTGAGCCACCTGTTTAAATAAGATGTTTCTACATAACTTTGTTTTCATTTCCTCATCCATTTTCCTCTTATTGATCTGTTATTGGTATTATGACTCAGCTTCCAGATGATACCAGTGTCATCACTTTATGATCACTCAGGTCATATAGTCATTATAGGCAAACCATTGTGTTCTGTTGGATGGGAACATGAGATACAATTTCAGCCAAAAAACTGGTAATTGAAAAAAAAAAAAAAAGAAAAACACCCCACAGACTAATTTTTATGGAGGTGGGTCAAATATGGCAGCCCCATTGTCTAGTGGAAATGTAAAAATCTGAGTTCAGCACAACTTTGTTTAAATTTTCAGCCTCTTTATCCAGACCCATTAGTAAAGAATACTCTCCCAGACCTTTTGACAATGAGCCCCCCTCCTTAAACCCAGAAACCCCCTGTCCACATTCTTTGTATGAAGGCCTGCCTCTTCCCTTTCTGCAGAGTAAACTGCTTGCTTATCAGAAGCAGCACCACATAGGGGTAAGAAGTATGCTGACCTCTTGGCCTGGTTCTTTTCTTATCAGACTGAATGTCCGTTGGAGGATAATCACTGCACTAAAATTTGGATCCTCATTGTCTTGCTCTGTGAATATAATTTACCATATTTTGCAAGCATTTTGAATGAATTAATGGGCCATTAAACAGCCATAAAACCCAACAAAATATTCCCTACAAATCTCAAGACCCAAAGATGGGCTAGCATCAACTCTGGTGGTTCAATAGAGCAGAGAGGTTGCTTTATTTGCAACAAGGTTAAGTCTTTGGGGCATTTTCTTTAAAATCATATACCCAAATCTATCTTATTTCATAACTAACAATTCATTCACTAACACCTTGCCTGTTGGACATGCCTTTAAATTGTACTAAATGTACTATACTCACCAAAGCAGAGCCCCAGAATGGATATCCTGAGCTAAATATAAAAGGAAACCTTGGGAATGGGCTCACCAAGGTGAAAAGGAAAACAACTCCAAAAGAAAAGTTCATGATTCCAAGTAGGATCTGGGCAGTCTGAAAATAGAGGGAAAAGTCAGCTTAGAAAAAGGATGGGGCAGGACCTATTCTACTTAAAGCTTTAATTCAAGGATTTGGCAGTTACTCTTTTTATAGCTGAGGGAAATACAGTGGATGTCCTTTTACAATAATCCTTGATGTTTTCTTAACCCCCCCCCCATCTGATAATTACTAAGAGAAAAATGAGTCTAACCCAGTGTTCCCGGCCTCAGGGTCAGCTGTGCTGTGAATAGAGGCTGTCAGATCTTTTCAAGCTCCTTGACTGCAACAATACCAGAATAGCTAACTTTTCTATTATCTCTGCTTGTGAAATCATGCATACTTCAGCCAGCAAGATGGCTCAGCCGGTGCCTGCCACCAAGCCTGACAATCTGAATTCGATCCCTGGAACCCACATGGTGGAAGACGTCTGTAAGGTGTCCTCTATCTCCGCATGTGTGCTGTGGCATGTGCATGACCACACACACACACACACACACACACACACAAATAAATACATGTGAAAATATAAATAGCAATCTGACAGAAGAATTAAAAATATGTATTTGATTTACATCCCATTTTACTGTTGTAGACAATGTTGGGATGTTTATTTCATAACTTTTATGTTTCTCCCACATGGTGGTGGATATGTGGAGATATTCCTCTCATCCATCATCACCCAGAGCACTCACTGGATTTTTTTACTTGACAATATGCAAATGAGATTCTTTATGCTTTTTCTTGGCTTGCTAGCTCATTTCTTGCACCACAGAACAGTATTCCATTACGTGGGTATGCCATGACTAATTTATCAAGCAGATTTGATTCTTTTTAGACTTCTTACGTCTTTTATGCCTGGATTGACCTCTCCTGGCTCTCCTTCACTGCCCTCCATTCCACCCATGCTTCCCATACTTCAGCTTGCAGGGCTTTCTGCATCTGTTATCCTTCCATGTTCTCCTTCCATTTCTACTTGTTAAAATTCCATAATCTCCTGTCCTGTTCCCTGTTCTCCCCCTTCTCTGATGTCCGTCCTCTTTGCCTTTCTGAATGGGGATTGTTTCAGAGTGCATATTAGACAGCCATTCAGTGAAATGTCCTCCCTCCTTTTAGTTGGAAGTAACTATTCTGACTGTGGCGCTCCCACAGTCATGACCACCATTGATGCTCTTTGTAGATGCTCCATTAAAATATAATTCTTAATATTTCCATGCTCTTACTATGTTTTCATAAAACCTTTGTTTTCCTCAGTGAGGAAAAACTAACTTGTGTTTGTTTCTGTGGGTGCAACATCTAACATAGTTGCTTGCACCTAGTTCAGTTTCTGTTAAAGTAATACAAACGATTTCACTCAAGCTTGGACTCCATCATATTTGAAGAGATGATGGATCAGACCACACTAGTGGTCTTCTTCCGTGGGCCACAGGATGATCTTTCTTTATTTCTGTTTTTTTTTTTTTCCTGAAAAAGATTACTTTCTATTTTCCATTACGAGAGGCTAGAGTTCGAAGGACAAAATATCCTCAAAGATAGAGGTAATATTACAACTTCAAACCTATCTGACTACTTTCCACTTGCCCATTATCTCAAGAAAGGTTTGATGAATAAAATTAGTCTTTGTGGAATGGATGTTTGCCAGAACCCCACCCCAAGACAAAGAACTTCAGGCAACTAAGGATTTCTTAGAAAAGGAGAATTGTTCTTTTCTAGGAATACCACCCCAACGGATTATCCAAGTAAAAATGGTCAACAACACTAACCAGACGAGGCAGGTTCTATTTACATGTTTGTACATATGTATGTATGTGAACAATAGCAGTTAAAGGAAAAGAGACCACAAGTTTGAGAGGGAGCAATGAGAGAGGGCCCATGGACGAGGCTGGAGGAAGATGACCTATTAATATTTTTAATTTTAAAAAGTTAAAAAGGTGACTGTCCTGAAGAGCCTTATAATATATGCATAGTTAAACACACTCATATATCTCGATATATGAATAATGTATAAAGCTCTGAGCTCTGAGCTCTGCTTGGAAAGATATAAAAGCATATGCTGTGGTTTGCTAAGATAGGGAATCTGGCCTCACTTCTACTTGGTTGTCATTTTTTTTTCTTCTGCTCTCCTAGATTGACTAGAAAAATCTCAACGATGATTAGTTTGGAGGCATCCAAGAACACTCAATTTATTCGTCTTGTAATTTCTGGTTCACAGACTCTTGTGCGTAACTCATATAGAAGTACAATCCAAACTTTCTGAATTGAGTGGAAATGAAATTTGGAGTTGGTTCCTGCTGGAGGACACGCACCACCAGGCAGTTTCTTACCCCGCCTCTGCCGCCCCCGCTCCCTGTAGAGTACACATAAGAGCAGATTTTTACTTACCCCTAAGATCTTCAATTTTCTGATAAGGATTTTCTGTACTGGGTTTTGGGAGTTGTAGACTGTGGCCGTAAGTTCTGTTGTTTGGTATTCTGCGTTGGTGACCTCCGGGGGAAACACCAGAAACATGGGGCTGTGCGTATTGTTTGAATCCATGATGGTCCAATTGGTCTTTTTAAGTGGAAGATAAGGAGGTACCTGATACCCTCATTTAGACCATGTTCATTTCCTGTACTGAGGCTGCCTAGAGCCCTGGCATTGTTATCCTTTGTCTTAGAATTACAGAACCATAAAGTCACAGAGTCATAGAATCTCAGGAATAGTAAAGAGTCCAAAGACACAAATTAAAGTGCCCACATCCGTGTATTGGATTGGAGAAGCTAACTAGTGGCCTTGGTTTGGTCAGAAATAGTGTGTCCTTGGGCAGGTCACACGCTCCTCTGTTCTCACAGCTTCCTCATGTGCATATTAACCTGTGATATCGTTTAGTCCCCAAATTTCTGATTTTTCTATTTCAGTTGTAGAAAAGACACAAACCTCTCAGTCCTTAGAACTAATTAGTCAATTTTTAAAACCCTACACCTTATCCATTCTTCCTGTCACTTAAAAGTTTTTTTTTTGCTACCCCATTTTAGAAGATTGACACTATATATCACCCACAAAGAGTGGGTTCAAAGAACCACAGTTTTCTTTACATTGCTGTTTATTTCTGCCTAGTGCTGCTCTAATTAACACATGCCACATTTTCTCAGATATCTATGGCTCAGTAGTGGACTGTGTAGAATTAGGTAAGCAAGAATGCCCTCAGTCATGCACCTTAGAGTGTTAGACTTTTGATTTTTCAGGAAATAATGCCCTTCAGACTTCTGCTGAGTCATTTGCTAATATACCGTTAGCTTAGGAAAAATTCTGTAGACAGTTTGGGGTCAAGCGATAAGAAATCGAATACTTCATTAGTGGATCTGGCCTGTCAAATTGCAAGGACATACATGAGAAGAAGAAATAATTGATTTACTTTTTAAAAGTGTGTGTGTGTGTGTGTGTGTGTGTGTGTGTGTCTTTGTGAGTGAATGCCACTTGTGTGAAGGTACCTATGGAGGCTGTAAGTGGTATCAGATTCCCTGGAGCTGGAGCTACAGGCAATTTTGAGCTGCCCAATGTGGGTTCTATGTAAGAGCAGCAAGTACTCTTTAACTACAGCTATCTCTGTCATACCATGTTATTTTCATATGTTGTCATGCTCTATTATGTTCTGTTGACCTCACAGCTTCCTTAACTAAATTTTTCTGTCAAGACCAGCTTCTTGCTGGCTGAAGGTTACATCTATATGTTAGGTTGTTTTGTTTTTGAATGTACCTTTCTTGCATGCAGCTTGAATGGACATAGATTTCTACTAATGGTCTTCCTTCATGAAAATCATCTGGTTTTTCATTCATTTTCTTTGATTTAAGTAATATTTGGGCCAGTGTACTCTGCAAAGCATTACATGGCCTTCATCACCCATGCTTCAGCTTTGTCGTGGGCCTTTTCAAGTTTCTCCCACCCCCAAGAATGGTAACTTTTTCATAACTACCTGATAATTGGAGAAACAAGTTAATTGTTTATTATGTTTTAACTCATATAAGCTTCTTCTCATGATCCATCACAGGATTCAGTCCATGGAGCATGGAAATCCAGGATTAATCCTAAATTTCTTTTAAGGTTAATCTGTTTATTCATTGAAAATCTCATACATGTATCCAGTGACCATTTCTATGTTTCATTCTCAGATTGGTTTATTTACTAGCTCTAGGTTCAAGATAAAGTCATCTATTAACTTCTAATGTTCATATTGATTTATATATTTATTGAAACATGATATGTCTTATTTGGAGTATTGATGATATAGTGAGAATGTGGGACCCTACTAAGGGGATCAGGGGCTGTCTCTGACATGAACCCAGTGGCTGGCTCTTTATTCACTTTCCTCTGGGAGATGCAGCCTTGCCAGGCCATAGATGAAGCAGCCAGCCCTGATGAGACCTGATAGACTAGGGTCAGATAAAAGCTGGAGGAGGTCCTCCCCTATCAGGAGACTATGGAAAGGGAATAGGGGAAGAAGAGGGATGGGACTAGGGGAGATGAGGGGTGGGGCTATAGTGGGGATACAAAGTGAATAAATTGTAATTAATTAATTTTAAAAACTAAAAAAATATTTTGAGTGAATTATAATGTTCTTGGGCTGTAAGTCAATTTTAATAATAATAAATATGCTATCAGTCAGCATTACTCCTTGTATTATTTATGTTCTAATTATGATGGTCAAATATTTTGTCTTGATTTATTTCCAAAGTTAATTTTTGGCTGTTTCTTTATCAGCTGGCTTAACTACAAGAACCTTGAGTTATTGCAAATGTTATTTATTATCCTGTACTTCTTTGTGAGAGGTGGTTGCTTGCTAATAGACATCTCAGGTGGATGGCATATTTGATATCAGCTTTAAAAAGCTTTATACCCTATTTTATGACACTAGAAAATCTCCTTTTATGAGAGGCCCTCTAATCTTTAAGTGGTTTATAAATGATTGGATACTATCTTTTAGGCCTTAATGTTCCCCAACAAAAACCATTATCTTGTTGCTAACTATTCTTGGGAAGGTATGGTAATGCAAGTGGTCAGTCTGAGCCCAAGGATTCTTCTCTGAATCTTAAGGCTTCCGTGTTCATGTTAGTGTCATACTATAGATAAAGCTTACTTTTCTTTGTTTTTACATTTCTTGACTTTTTATTAAAAATGCCCTCTTTCCAAAGACTCATATCCAACCACTAGAGAGTATGAAGTGGCAAATGCTCTCTTCCTGGAGGTCTCAGTCCTCTGGGTGTCATTTGCTCCTTAAATCACAAACAATGACTCTTATTTTCATCTTATCCCATGAAGGACTGTAAAACAAAACAAAACAAAACACCATTATTTCTCCAAATGTTTTCAGCTATTTGGGGGAGTTTCAAGGAGACATGAGAGGAAGAAAGCATGTTGGGTTTCTGTTTTGCTATCTTGGGCCGATGTCTCCGATTTTATGGATGATGACTCTTCCTCACTCTATTGCTCTTCTGGTTATTTCAGGATATTTAACTTCTTGTTGTTTCTTCTTTGCACATGACTACATAATAAACCATAACCAATAGCATCCAACCAGCAACCAGCAACCCACTTAATGGGGTTCTAGCATTAATATACCCTCTGAAAAGCTTCCAGAATTCCAAATTTCACACACTTACAGAAAATATCTGCAGCTGGCAAAATCATGAACCTGCTAGAACACAAGGCAAATCATTGCTTAAAGCAGCCCAAACCCCATACCTGGGATTAAAACAAAAAAACATAATCTTATATTTCTCTAAAAAAAACCCCCAAATTCCAATATTCTCACTATAAGTCATCATGGTTTCTGTAATGGTCTCTGTTGCAAAGAGAAGTGTTCCTCATGTGAGGGGAAGACTATACTTGTCTGTAATCTGGAACTGACTTGATATCCCCTCCCCAGAAGGCACCATATAAGCTTCCAAAGGAGGGAGGCAACCAGAACCAGTAGTTCTACCCAGCTATCATGATAATGAACCACATCAACAACCGGCATGACAAGATAACCCTAAGGATGCAACAGTGGCACACAAATCTTGGTGGAAACCAAAATCCCTCTAATTATATTAAGACCCATTTAACAAGAGAGAGACTATTCCTGGTACTGGAAATCTAATTTCAGTGCTGATGAAATCATGGTTGTTGGAGGATAATCTATAACTTCTAATTTACTAAACCAGCATAATACTTAACAACAATCTATAAACAATTGTTCTTATATCTGCAAACTTAGGTTTTTAGTGATGGTTCCCTCTTGGCTTTCAAGAAATTTCTGATTTCTTCTGCCTTTATATTACATTTTTTTTAGCTCTCTTGTCTCTCACTGTCTCTTTCTTTCTCTGGGACACAGTCTCTCTGCCTCTGCTATTCTCTCTGTGTCTCTCTGTCTCTATCTCTTGTCTTTCTCTCTCTCTCTCTGAATATGACAGAGTTTCATAGTGCAGTCCAAGTTGGCTTTAAGCTCACTAGCCCAGGCTGAATTTGAACTCAAAATTCTTCAGATTCTTGAGTGCTGGAATTACAGGCATATGCCACCTTAGCAGAGCACTACTCCTACCTCCTACCGTGAGGGTCTCACTCTTGTGTTTTCATCTGAACCTAGTATATTCAAAAGTGTATTCTATTTCCAAAGTTATCACATTAGCAGTTAGGACTTCTGCATTAGAATTCAGAGGTAGGCTATTTCGTTCCAAAGCAAAGAGGTAATTTAATTAATACTATAAAGAAACATGTATCATCTATTTGTCTGTCATCTGTTATCTCTGCCTATCATCTATCTATCTATCTATCTATCTATCTATCTATCTATCTATCTATCTATCATCTACCATCTAATACTGACTTGTTCATCTATGACTAATATACATTTTCATCTATTCTGTGGAAGAGAATAACTTCCCTTTATGTTCACTATCTAAAAAAAGAGTGACTCTTACTCATTCAATCTCATCAAATACAAAGATGTTAATGGGTTTGTTTTCAGTCATAGAGCACTGTTCGTCTGTGGCATGACATGGCTTCAGAATCTTATAAAAATTTCCCACCTGCTGCTCCTAATTAAGCATATATAGACAAGACTATGGGTAACACTGCTCATGATACTTGAAAATGTTTTTTCAGAGTGCATAAATATTAGGTTCATTGCTGACACTTTTTCTGGGCAGAGTAGGGAGAGGGAGGGAGTTGCTCAGGGATTTGAATTCCCAGATCAAGAGCAATAAAAATGACCCCAGTGCTGTGTGTTCTGAAGGATTTTCTCTTCTGTAGCTACAAAGTTAACATTGCTGAAAACCAAGTGCCGGATCTCATTTAGCAACTGGCTGGATTACAAGTGCAAGTTGAAGTCTCTGTCCTTCTGGAACACTGCTATTAAAGTGGGAACACTAAAGGCAAATGGGATGCTGAAGTTGAAATGGCTAAGTATGGTAAGACCTTGCGAATCTGAAAACATTGAACCCTGAATTCTGATGAATCTACTATTTTCAGGAGGAACATGTCTCTCTGTCCCCTGTGGGGCCTTAGTATTTGTGTGAATA